CTGACATGCACCAGAGAGGAGCAGCATTCTGTTATTCGTTTTCTGGACAGGGGTGAAACCTACAGAAATTCATCGGCAAAAGAAGATCTAGTAAAGTGATGCATGCCTGTCAGTTCAGCAACTGTACAAGTAGAGTAGGAAGTTTCAAAACGGCATGACTTCTGTGAAAGACTGTTGACTTCTAAGTAAAAGTGTCCCTTTGCACATGACAATGCCCGACCCCATACTGCCTTTGCAATGGTTGATACCATCAAAGACCGCCACTTTCAATGCTTACCATATCCCCCAAACTTAAAAGGCCTAACCCCAAGTGCTTTCTCCCTGCTTAGATAATCTAAAAGGTTAAGGCAGGAAAGACTTTTCTGTCTAACTGAAGTATAGCAGGTGGTGCACCAGTGGCTTCACACGTGACCTAGAGAATATTTGTCTGCAGGCATCCAAGCACTTTTTTGTTGCCAGAGGACCTGCACTGAGCGCAGCAGGCTACATCAAAAAATGATATATTTGTTCTTTACTTTATCAGAATATAGTCATCCAAACAAACATTTAGTATTTTAATTTGAAGCCCTCTCAATATTCCAAAAATGTATAATGATTAACAAACAAAATACTATGTAGTAAGCATGATAATAAACAACAAATTTTATTATAACTGCTTTTTTAACCAGGAGGTCGATGGGACGAAGTTACTAAACTATTTGCAACATGGGCTGTGGGTTTGATATTTTAACTCTGCCCTCCAGTCTGCATGTGAAAATGTTTTGGAGATGCCTAGTGATGACTGCTGGAGCTACAGAGTTCAAGATTTGTGTAACACTTTTGCAAGTGACCAACAGATTGAGCCATATGGGACTTTGTGTTTTAAATGTTTTAACAAATTCACTTTAAAAAAAATTGTTTTAAGTGTGCTAGTGGTTCCCCCCCCCCCCCCCCCCCCGACACCCCTCCCCCTAGTGTCACAACCAGAAGTGACTAGATCAAGCCTTCTTGGGGTGATAGAGCTAATCCTTTCACAACCATCTAACTCTTGTCTCCTGAAACTATAAAACTTATAATATTCTTTTTTATGTAATGATACTGTTTTCTGTTAAATGGCTACCTAATAAAGTCATTTTCAGTCTGTGTTACCTGCTCTTCTTGCCTAACATTTTCCCTCACAAAAATTAATTTTCAAATAAAATTATTTGCTGATTTTGAAAAGTGAGATTTATTTATCGCAAATAAGTCACACTGATTGTGTTTTAACTATGCTTATTTAAAGACAACTGCCAAAACAAAATGTAATTCAATTATGGAAAATAAACCAGTTATAAACAGCAAATAAAATATCAATATTAAGGTAAGCCTATTTAAAATACATAAATCACTTTAACATTATAGTGAATCCTAAAGTAAGGTGCATCTTATGTATTTCACAAATAGACTGTTAATAAGCACAAGTGAACACAATTTGTGCATAAAACAAGGATTCTTAGCGAATGAGCTAAATGTGTAAATACTAACTATAATGAAAGCGTTTTTGGGTAAAATGCCAGAAGCCACTTCTTCCCTTCCTCCCCTTTTTTCTTTGTTCATCACAATCTTCATATTGTAATTTTTTTTTCTTCACCTTTTTCTTCATTCTTCTGCCTATTTTTCCTTCCCTTTTCTTCTTCTGTTTTTTCCCCCCCTTTTTTTAAACTCTTCTTCTTCTTGAAGTGCCTGATCTGCAGTAGATATCACTAACCTAACTCTCCCCATCTTTCCATCAAATGACGTTTTGTTTAACTTGATAGATACTGCTATTATTAATTTTTGCATGTTTGAGAGTCATTTACACACATCTTACTCTTCCTCTTCCCCACCTGCACTGGATTTAATTTCTCAAATCTTCTGTGGAAATGCCCATTGTTTCGGTTTTTTAAAATTAGGATTCTCTGGGTGAAAGGGTTAAATTTATAAACTTATAAAAACTGCTGCAGGAGAAAAACAGGCAAGTGGGCCAGAGAATGATGGCAATATAGATGAGAAGAAAACCATATTATTAACCATAAAAAGCCATATTATTAGGCTAAGCTGACCAAGCAGCTCCAGCCAAATCATTTCCTGTTCTGAAATTCATCTCGGTGAGGATTCAAACTAGTGACAACTGGGGCAGCAGCAAATGTACTAGCCAGTACAAATCAACAATGACGTATACAAGATATGAAATACAACTCATGTACAATAAATCATCTCCATTTAAAAAAATATAATTTTGGTTATGGATAACAAGAATAATAAATAAAGCATCCCAAAAAATAACAAGATACCAACCATCAAGGAAATATGTAAGTAATGTAAGTAAAGGAGTTTTTATTTTATCAGTGATGAGTTGGGCATATGGTGCCTGAACCAACATTTTATAGATCAATCAGCACTTAAGGGGTCACGAGGTCAACATCATCCGCCTGCCTTAATTCATGGTACGCATTTTGGGCTGAATTTAATGTATGTAAATGTATTAAAAGTTTGATGGCAAACAGCAAGCTGAAATAGTAATTAAAATTGTTCATTCAGTTATTAATTGCCCCCTTTTTAAATCCTTCTTGTCCCAGACAATTATTACCTAATCCTGTTAGACACTTGTCAGCATCTGCAGCTTGTTTGTGTGCAGTTTTACAATCCTGACACAACTGGGCTTGAAGTCAGCTGCAAGCAATTTGGTAACAAACTGCTTTGATTTTGATAATCGTATAAGTTTTATGCCATACAGAAAGCAATGGCAAGCTACTTAATGTAAATGACTATTGAAAACACCCTGACAGTCAATAAATGCTGGGACTGCAGAGTCCTCAAAAGGATATTGTTACCATTACTAGTCTCAAAAGGATGTTGTTACAATTACTAGTCTCAAAAGGATGTTGTTACAATTACTAGTCATAAGGATGTTGTTACCATTACTAGTCTCAAAGGGATGTTGTTACAATTACTAGACTCAAAGGGATGTTGTTACCATTACTAGTCTCAAAGGGATGTTGTTACAATTACTAGTCTCAAAGGGATGTTGTTACCATTACTAGTCTCAAAGGGATGTTGTTACAATTACTAGTCTCAAAGGGATGTTGTTACCATTACTAGTCTCAAAGGGATGTTGTTACAATTACTAGTCTCAAAGGGATGTTGTTACAATTACTAGTCTCAAAGGGATGTTGTTACCATTACTAGTCTCAAAGGGATGTTGTTACCATTACTAGTCTCAAAAGGATGTTGTTACAATTACTAGTCTCAAAGGGATGTTGTTACCATTACTAGTCTCAAAGGGATGTTGTTACCATTACTAGTCTCAAAGGGATGTTGTTACCATTACTAGTCTCAAAAGGATGTTGTTACAATTACTAGTCTCAAAGGGATGTTGTTACCATTACTAGTCTCAAAGGGATGTTGTTACCATTACTAGTCTCAAAAGGATGTTGTTACAATTACTAGTCTCAAAGGGATGTTGTTACCATTACTAGTCTCAAAGGGATGTTGTTACCATTACTAGTCTCAAAGGGATGTTGTTACAATTAATAGTTTAAAGTAACAAACTGTCTTGAGAGTGAAGTCTAATTAAAACACTGCATTCCCAGTTCAGAACAAGATCTCTGCAAGTGTTTCAGATCTGGTTCTGGAACAAGACTAAACTCCACAAGTGGATGAACAACCAGAACTTTCTGTCGCAGTCTACAGCCAGTGAAAATGAAGATTCCGTGAGCACAGGAAGCAATTTAGCACACAAACTTTGTTATGCCACTGGCATATTTGGCATTTATTCATTTGTGTGAATGAAGAAACAAGTTTTGATCACATTCAACCAGCTTATGAAAGCTTTTGTTTATAACTGATATCTTTATCCTGTAATCCTTCATGAAGATGGTGCTTCTTGAATTCCTATTGTATTGAGCTGAATATCTTCTATTTAGTTTTTCTGCGTAATTACAGTGCTCTTTGGTTTCGAACCGAGTCCATGTCCATCACGGCTATCTAACAAGACTCCCCTGTTGGTTATATTGTGTGATTTGGTTTTGTTGACAGAAAGGGCTAGTCCCTGCCACATTGATCTGATCGGGCACACCTGCCCATACACTGGTGGTTTTTCAATCTGGAAGGCATGCCCCCTAGAGGGTGATGGAAAAGGGGAGGGGGGGGGGGGTGGGGCGCTGTGTTCAAGGTGGTTTCAAGAAATTGTGAAACTAAATATATTTTACTTGTAATAATCTGTTATACTAAAATTTTCATAGTTGGTCAGCATTCCCTTGTGCCTTGTGTAAAATCAGATAAAAAATAGCAGTTATTATCAAAACAAAAGTGTGTCAATTATCACATTAAATCTGGACACTAAATTACCAGCTGCTGATGATTTCTTTGATGTTATCTGACAATCTGAACTGAAAGCTTTTTAAAAAGCATTGCAGTCTTTGATTTGTTATCTTGCTGAAAATAGCTTTCCTTGTTTTGATTTTTTTCAAACGTCCACTGATGTGAACGGGATGCTTAAAATCTGTGTTTGCGACAAATTAAATTATTAAAGTTATTTTAAAAAAAAATTACTGATAACATTTACATTTTCATGAACGCTTTAAAATACCACTCCCAAAGACAAACACCTGTCCTTCAAGTGTTAAAAAGTATGTTAAATTAAAAACTGCACAACACCAATCACTTATTTATATTTTCACTGTGTTAACAAAGTCTCCAGTTTAACACCAAAATACACTGAGCTGATAATTTATGGATTTATTATGTATATCTTTATTAAATTTGACCCCAAAAATAGCTCCCAATTTAACTATAAATGCATGAAGCTTATCATTTCTAGCCTCAAATGTATATCTTCATTAAATTTATCCCAATAATAAATAACCTCAGTTTTGCCCCAATTACATGAAGCAGATAATTTCTGGCCTCAAAATGTATACATTTATACAATTTCATCAGTCCCTACAAATAAACTGTCCCAAAAATGAACTGAGGTGTCACAAACGTTCATGCGCTCTCCACTACTCATTATTCTTTCCAACAAAGGAAGCCAAGCAACCTAGGCAGCAAACGCAAAAACAGGAGGCAGCCATGATGATGTAGACTGCGGTGGTTATCCAGAAGGCAAACCAATAAAGGTTATAATCACAGTAATCACTATCGCCTTTGGTGTCATGCTGGAAGCTGTTCCTTGTCCGGTAAATGTATACACAGCCTAAAAACAACATAATCAATACGTCAGACAGTTGCAAATGTATAGTAAATGACAAATTTTCATTATCAACATAACTGCAAAGCTACTGAGGCAATGTGAGCACATTTGGAGCTGTCTGGGTGCTGTCATGATGGTCTCTACTGATCACTCAATGAAGATGCTCAAGAAAATCCAGAATTGCTAGATCAGCAAAGAATGCTGAATTAGGAATCAACATAATAGTACCCAGGACACTCCCATAAGCGCTCTATCTCCATTTTCAGCAGCAAGAAGTGAAGAGTTACAATTCCAGTGGCACCAGTAACTGTCTGACTGTATAACCGTCTCACCTTCCCCTTGATTGTTGAGCGTCGACCATATCCCTGGTAACTCCATGCAGCACCATTCTCCTCAGACCACAATGATCTATTTCTGCCTCCACACTGTTCACTCACTCCAAAAGGGCCCTCACAACATCTAGCTCATCATACATCAATTCACCACCAAGTGGTGCAGAACCGGCCAGTCTATCTATCTGCTCGTTTCCCAACATCCCAGCATAACCTGGAGAAAATATTCAAAGGATGCTAGCTACCCCGGACCTCTGAGTAATGTTTGTCACTCTGCACAGAGCATGCCTGTCTCCACCTTTCTCAACATGCTCTGTGAGTCAGTTCCAGTTATGACATGTGCGTACTGGTAATTCTCAAGCCAGCAGTGACTGCCTCCACCTCCATTCTCAAACTAGATGTTGTGATATCATATACCAGGCTTTGCTGCACTAAGTGATGTCCATTTGCTTTTGCCAAGAACCCCCATGCACTTTGTCTACATCTCAACACAGAGCCATCTGTGTGGATACTCACATCACCTGGGTGGGAATTGTCATGAATCATTTGTTCTGCAGCACCAGCTGACCAATCCCTGCATTCATGACCTAAAGTGATTAGAACTATACACAAGTCTGATTCTAGCTCGAACACTTTGACACACTCTTCTCCTTGATCAAATTTATCAAGTCTGCACACATGTCCAATTGTGTCTTCAGCTTGCGCTACTCAAGACTTTCCTCTTTTTAGTCTGTGACCCTTAGCTCTGCCTAGGGCTTCATGCAGGAGGTGCTTCTTGTCTGTAGCTACTCTGAGATATAACTTTGCTTGCAGAACTTTGAGCCTATCTGCAATAGTAGGCAGAGCTAGTATATATCGCATACATACTACCAGGGTATCTTTTGTGGGATATATTTTGAACATGACAGAATTATCTGCATGGATTCATTCTGTACGAGTTCAAGTTTCATCAGCTGACTCTTTGATATGGTAAGCATTCCAAATACATAATCTACCACCAACAGGATCACATGCTGGAACATTGTGAACAGCATTATTTGTTCCAAGTCTACTGCTGCCATAATCTTGAGAGCATGAAGTCCTTTTTGGCATTTCCCCGCAACTGCCTCCACATGATCCCTGAAGGACAGGCTTCTATCGAAAATGATACCCAGGTATCTGCGTTTTCTTTCTCTTTTGATGTATCTGTCATTAATTGTGAGGCTTGGAACATTAGATCTTACTACTGTCCAGAGAGCACTATAAAACAGCCACCTTTTCTAAGTTGATGACAGCAGCCATCTCTGCACACCAATCAGTAACGTTGTCTACAGTTGCCTGTAGCTCTTGGTCTGTCTGTTGCCTATCGCCCCATGAGCTGCATGAGGGCCCATGCTCCATCAGGGTATAGAAGAAGAGGAAACAAGTTTATAGTCAAACCTTCTTATTATAGTCAATACCTTCTAATGTAGGTAGTCATGAGTAGCAGCTGGCAAAACAGTTAAGAAAGCAGGGCTCTCATGCAGGATACCCGGGTTTGAATCCTCGGTAAGGTTGGGGATTTTTGTCTGTTGAGGATTTTTTCTGCTGGGGCAAAAATAAAAATCCTGACCTACACAGTCCGTAGTGACAACACTAGCCATGTGGTTGTAAATCCTTGGGGCTCAAAGATCTCCCCCAACCCCCTTCCAACTGCAAAAGTGACAAATACAGGCAGTAATGGCAGTTGGTAGTCATGTTTTTCCAGCTTCCGTCTAGTGTACTTTCAGTTATTTCTGACGCAGATGATCTTCCATCCCATGACATCAGACAGTCTAGTATATTCTCTCTCGGACTCCTCATCTTGTTCTCCTCCAATTTTCCCACTGTCGTGTTGTATTCCAGCTTTCTCCTCATGATGTCACCAAAGAACGTAGACTGTCTGCTTCTGTTGTGGGTTATCAGTTCTCTTCATAAGTTAATTTCTTTCAAGACATATTCATTACTCTTTTATCTCTACAGGGGTTCTCATCCACTGGAACTTGTTTTGTTCTCTCCCCAAGCTCAATATTAATGATATTTTCATACCATTTAATTCCCTCTATTCTGTGCAGGCACCAGTTAATGAAGATTTGTAGTTTATTAGTAACTGCCTTGGTTGTTCTCCATGTTTCCACTCCAAACAACAGTACTGATTTGACATTAGAATAAAAATATTAAGTTTAGTATTACTTTTAATTTATTTTAAGCAAAATTGTTCTAGTGCCATAAAAGCTCCTCTTGTTTTTTATATTCGAATTTAATATCTTTATCAGTTCCCCCATCTTTATCTACAGTTTCTGCCTAAACAGGCGTACGACCCCACGTCCTGGAGTGGTATACCACATTACTATGTGCCTGATTTATGCTCATGATCTTCGTCTTTCCATAATGGATTTTCAGACCTAGTTGTGATCTCGTATCAAGTAAATTTAATTTATTTTGCATCTGATTCCCTGAATGGAGCAGAAGAGAAATATGAGCTAAGTAATGGAGCAGAAGGGAAATATCAGCAAAGTCCACATAATCAAGCTGTTTGGTAGGGGTCCACTGAATTACATTCCTGGTGTTAGCAACTTGTATCTTACTAAACCCTAAACTTACTTATGTCAAGACTCACCAGTAATGAACCAAGCAATCAAAAAGCAGTTTGCCACAGACTCTGCAGGATTGACTTTAGCCTGATCCTCCTCTCTCTCTTGTTCAGTCTTGCGACATCGCTGGATGAGACTGTACACATTTCTTACGATTCCAGCACATCCAGACACAATTAAATAGATCGGAATCATACGTTCAGCAGGGCAATGATCCAAATGAATAGAACCTGAAAGGTATATTCCATAAATCACATATTCAGCATTATAATCATGCAAGTCGACAGCACCCAAAAGTGGATATTACATAAATCATATATTCAGCACTATAATCATGCAAGTTGATAGCGCCCAAAAGTGTACATTACATAAATCATTTATTAAGCACTAGAATCGTGCAAGTGGATAGAACCATAGTAAAAGTATAGGACTCATTTCCAGGCCATTAAGTTTATTGGGCATATAGTGCTAGACCTTTATTTTGAGACCAACTGGCACTTGATGGGTGATGTGATCAACAGCATGCCTGCCTTCTGGACTTACCAGGACTTTACCTGGAACCTATTTAAGGCTGGGTCAAACTGGGAGCCAAAGTCGTGACTGAACAAACAAATCTGGCTCCATGTGAATATGAACCCACAACTTTTAGATCCACAGGTGAGTGTCTAGCCACTACACCCTTGCATCTCCCAGAAAGCACCAAAAATCATACATTCAGCACTATAATCATGAAGGTTGATAGCACCTTAATGTACATATGTGCAGAGAATCTGACAATAACACATATTTACACAAAATTAACTATATTACTATAATTTTTTATTTCTTTTCTTCTGCATTCACCCTTAAAAGGGTGGTTGGCAAATTATGTTGTCTGAGACTTCTGGTCCATTGCATTCTTATTTTTCAGCCCACTCCTAATTAGTTTCCCTTTAAGACATGCTTGTTAAGGGGCAGTTACCCCTCCAGCCCCCCCCCCCCCTTCCCCAGCTGAGCACTGGAACACACACCAGGATTTTGAGATTTAATATTATTTTAAAAATTGACTGGAATACTATCAATATGGTGGACAGACAGGTTTACTGTTTTTACTCGCAGCAAATATATTTTTTTTTTAAACAGTTAGCTGTTGTATTTTCCTTTATATGTCGACTAAAACATTAAATTTCTCAGGCCCGGCTACTGAGCTCAGGGCACGATGCGACACTGTGAGCTGCGGATTTTTTTGGAATGCTTTTTGAATAAGCCCCGTGTGGCTGTAAATTCTAGATTCAGAAAATGTTAAGTGACCTGCTGCCGGAGAAGTTGAGGTGCCTTATGCAGTCAATTGCTGATCTGTTGTAACTGCTGCTTCCATTGACAACGAACTGCATTTCTAGTGTTGGACTGTTTGTGTTAGCATTTCTGACAGCTGTCTTATGCATTTAATGTGCATGTATGCTGTTGGATTTGCCAAGGCTGCAATTTGTGTCAAATTTTTCTTCACAATGATAGTACTGGACATTCTGTGTGGTTTTTGTTGGCACAAAAAAGAAGCAACTATAGGATGGCCCGTTTGGATACTGGAACTTTCAATTACCTGATTACCATATTGAAATAACTTTTCTGCCATTAATATATCATCATCATCATCATCCTCATTATCAAGAGAAAAATCTATGGGGAATCCTTAAGGCCACAGAAAGAGTATGGCAAGCAAAATTACATCGTACTGATTGGCACTCAGAGATGGAGCGGAAACAAGCAGAGATAGGAGGGCAGTGTTCCTCAACATTTTTACACCCAAGGTCCACCGAAACAGTGGAGTTTTTTTGGGCGGCCCACCTGTCAGCTAACTAAACAAGAGAAAAAATGTAGAAAGCAGTTTATCAAATCAAAATTTTCTGCTTATACAGCATATGCTGATGCTTACAGGTTTAAAAAATCTGGTATATGTGCTTGGAGTATTTTTTTTCTTGATATATGCGCTACAATATCGTTTCTTCTTCTTCTTCGTGTTCACCAGCGGGAAGTTCTGGTTTTTCATCCACTTTTGGACTGCTGTCCTGTGCCAGAACCTGAGTGTTGCATGTGCATCCATTTTACAGATCTGACTTATTTGTATGCAGACTGCTGGTTCTTTGCCTCTCAGGCAGATGCACCGACTTTGAAAGAAGCTCCCAATTAGTCGACTCTAACGACATGTTTTTGGGTAGGCAGTGGGTCTATTCTTGTTTTCCCCTACAATAGGGTACTGGAACCCACACGGGGAATATCATTTCAATTTTTAAATTTGGTTTTAATTTACTGATGTGCCTGAGAAAGTCTTGTCACACAAATAGGAAGTCCTTGACCTGTGAATCTTAAACTGGAAGAGAAAAACTATCTTCAATACCATGTTACGGTTAAGAAAAATTTGTTGGCGACCACCAGGGCAATTTCCCACAGCCCACAGATTAAAGAACACTGCACTTGACTACCAAACAATGGAAAGCTATAGTTACCATAAAGGATCTAGGATATGACCCTACAAATGATAATATCACTTCGCTGCAGGAACAAGTGTATTTCGCCTTTTCTTTTCTCTCCGCATAGCTTTCTGATCATAGTTTGTTTTGAGTTTAGTTTTGTCTCGCCATGCGGCAAGTTGTTCCTTTATCATAATGTAGCTAAATAATGATGACTACCTGTTTCTGATGTTTATGACAAATATCTGCACCTCAACCACTTTCAAAACATTTAGGTTACTCATTTTTTCATAGCAAGCCCTAGTCATTCATATATTCAAACTTAGAAAGTTAGAAAATGCAATGGATGATGGTGTGGACTGGTAAGTAAGAAGGAGGCATGTCCAGCTACTGGACAATGGGGCACTCCCGCTCAGCTGTGTGCCGTAGGCTAAGCCTTAAGCTAATAAAGTGTGTGTTTTTTTCCATGTTTTTTTTTGGTTGTTGTTGGTCAAATTAATAAGTGATTTTACCTGTACTTTTTATTCACTTATAAGTGGTGTTTTCTTGGAAACGATTTAACAAGTTCTTCACCTGATTCTGTTTGGATTAATGTTCAAAATGTTGTGTTTTTGCGGAGCAGCATTTCAAAGGTAAGACAGAAAAACAATACTACACTATGTCCTATGATCTCTTAGTTTGCTAGTACAGTGTACCTTATATCTGATATTAACATTTAATAAATTATTATATATTACATATTCAAAATGGGTTCCCATTTGCAAAATTTTGCAAATATACTGGGTGGACAAGAAGAATACTGTAATATACTGGGTGGACAAAGATAAAATTGCAAATATACTGAGTGGCCAAGAAGAATACTGCTAATATACTGGGTGGACAAAGATAATATTGCAAATATACTGGGTGGACAAGAAGAATACTGCTAATATACTGGGTGGACAAAGATAATATTGCAAATATACTGAGTGGACAAGAAGAATACTGCTAATATACTGGGTGGACAAAGATAATATTGCAAATATACTGAGTGGACAAGAAGAATACTGCTAATATACTGGGTGGACAAAGATAATATTGCAAATATACTGAGTGGACAAGAAGAATACTGCTAATATACTGGGTGGACAAAGATAATATTGCAAATATATTGAGTGGACAAGAAGAATACTGCTAATATACTGGGTGGACAAAGATAATATTGCAAATATACAGAGTGGACAAGAAGAATACTGCTAATATACTGGGTGGACAAAGATAATATTGCAAATATACTGAGTGGACAAGAAGAATACTGCTAATATACTGGGTGGACAAAGATAATATTGCAAATATACAGAGTGGACAAGAAGAATACTGCTAATATACTGGGTGGACAAAGATAATATTGCAAATATACTGAGTGGACAAGAAGAATACTGCTAATATACTGGGTGGACAAAGATAATATTGCAAATATACTGAGTGGACAAGAAGAATACTGCTAATATACTGGGTGGACAAAGATAATATTGCAAATATACTGAGTGGACAAGAAGAATACTGCTAATATACTGGGTGGACAAAGATAATATTGCAAATATACAGAGTGGACAAGAAGAATACTGCTAATATACTGGGTGGACAAAGATAATATTGCAAATATACTGAGTGGACAAGAAGAATACTGCTAATATACTGGGTGGACAAAGATAATATTGCAAATATACAGAGTGGACAAGAAGAATACTGCTAATATACTGGGTGGACAAAGATAATATTGCAAATATACTGAGTGGACAAGAAGAATACTGCTAATATACTGGGTGGACAAAGATAATATTGCAAATATACTGAGTGGACAAGGAGAATACTGCTAATATACTGGGTGGACAAGCATAACATTGTGAATATACTGGATGGAAAGTGATAATATTGTGAATATACTGGTTAGACAAGAAGAATATGCTGGTTAAGTTCACTGACTAATTTTCAGTTGATTATATGGATATATGATATTCACCAGCTAAAATGTAAGTAGTTTATGTTGTACTTTCTGTTTCTATGTCGTTCTCTCTATTTTCCCACAATATTTTGAGCTGAAAATGGAACATCCTAAGCAAGTCAGCTCCCCCTCCCCTTTCCATCCCCCTGCCTTTTCACCTCCATCCCACCCTCCCTTAAAATATTCTAGAATGTATTATTATTACTTTTCATTAAGGAACTAAAACATTTTAAGAAGATGAGATTATAAAGATTATATAAGCTTTTCAACTGTATAAGCTATACTTATTAACTATTTTAAAATGTTTTTCTCTAGTGTTCCCTTTTAGTTTGTAGATGTGTGTATACTTATATACGCATTCTATTCTCAAGCTTACTTCTAGAGTTTCTGCGGGGAATACTCAGGGGATGCTGGGACACACCGAAAAAATGGACTGTCAGCGTGAACATGGGATACATCAATAGCCCTGGGTGGTGACTTCACATCAAACTGATGACGTCAGCAACTAGGCCTATCGGCAGAAGGCATTAGTAAGAACCAACCACATAACATACACTGCCTAGAACTGAAAGAATTTGTTTTTAAAAAATATTGTATGAAATACTCACCCATTATGAGCATTGCCAGAGGAATAGCTATGAAAACTCCAAGAATGATCGTAAAGCCAACTGAAAAATACATTTTGAAAACGTTCCAAGAAACTTAAAATGATGAATAGTTAATTAAATTACACAAGTTATACAAAAATGAATAAGAAATAATTGAGTTATGCAAAAAGTAGTAAGAAGTAACAGCTATACAAAAACAAAACCAGAAGTAACACAGTTATAAAAAAAAACAAGGAGCAATGTAATTCAACAAGAACGAGAAGTAACATAGTTACACAAGAACAAGAAGTAACATAGTTATGCAAAAAGTAATAAGAAGTAACACGTTTATTCAAAAACAAGAAGCAATATAGTTAAACAAGGACAAGAAGTAACAATAATACAAGAACAAGGAACTTAGTTAAAACAAAAAGCAAGAACCAATATAGTAAAACAAGAACAGGATGTAACACAGTTAAACATATATATTTTCTCCTGTATATGTTGGTGTGTTGGGAAATGAGTAGACAGACAGATTAGCTGATCTATACCATTTAATGATGAACAAGATGTTGAAAAGGGTCCTTTGGCAGTGAGCAGTGGGAGGCACAAACAGACCATTATGGTCTAAAGAAAATGGTAGGTGAGCGCAAGACCAAGAGATCTGATCAATGCTCAACCCTCAAAGGAAAGGAGAGACAGATACGCAATCAGTGTTGCTGGTGCCCGCGGATTAGGAACTATGCGCTTATTGCTGAAGATGGGGACAGACCGCTTTCAGAAATGTAATAAATGCTCCGGTGTCAATTCCTAATTTAATATATATATTAATTAACACATATAAGTTACTTGCATATGTCATACTTTGACTTCCATTCCACTTGGCACAAACATTAAGGCAACATAGGTACCTACTTGTCGACAGGATAATGATGATGAAAGTTTTCATGAAGTTTAAGAATCCTGTGGATTCACTTCGTGCTGCCTTGATCCTCCCATACAGTGATTCGTATGATGGTGGGGGGTCTGTCAACAAAGTTCATTTTATAAACATACATTACAATCAGGAACTATTGCTAAATTATGCTATGTTATAAAGTTTTGGGAACAGCTGTCCCATACTGGACTATGTACTTGCCTGCCAGCCTGAAGGTCCTGAGTTCAAATTCCAAATTGGATAATTTTTTTTTTAACTGACTGTTGCTCTCAGGTCAACTACAATGGGTACCAATCATTGTCCTGGGAGGTAAAGGTGGTCAGCGTGATGCTGACCACACCACCCATCTAGATCCTGAAAAATTATGAGTCCAACACAGTGGTCTTCAACCTTCTGCAGCTGGCGCGATTCAAGCTTCAACTTGGTACAGCTTGTTCTTCGCAGCGACCCATTGGAGGTTTGGTGATCAACATCACATTTTTAAAACGTCTTCATATATGACAGGACAGAACAAATTCTGTTTCAATGTATCAAGCTCTCACATCTGACGTAACAGTTTCTTTTTTTCACACTGCCGTTTCCAACTTGGTAACCTTGCCATTTGTGATAGATCTATAAGCATTGTCTTATACACGACTTGCAGATGACTTGAAACATTAAGTCACTTGACTTGGAAGTATTCTTAGTGACCTGATACTTGGTGGCAATGGGACTCGACTTGGGCCTGGAGGATGGCGATAGGTCCAACCTCTGGACTGTACAGTGAAGTAAATAATGTACTCAGTAATCGTATGAAATTACTTAGGACAACTGGGTTAGTAATCACTATCTTGTACTTGGTGTGTTACAGTGGACTGTATGATTTAAACATTTGAGTGCATCACTCAGTTATGTAGAGTCTGTTATGCCGCAGCCATCAAGAGATCGAGTCTAAAGCATTCTTTCTTATTTGGTGGTCTGTGGATACTCGAGGTTTGCAGAACAAATTTAAGGGATTCGCAATGATATTTGCAAATCAATCTTAAATAAAACTCTCAATTTTAGAAAGGTATCTTTTTTATCTAGATCTTCAAAAATAAGGTTGATCCAAAGGTCTCAGCTAATTGGGACCCACTGTTCTAAAGTAGGATGATTCCTATAGAAGGATGCAAAACACTTTGTAGCTTTACCAATGACCAGCCAAAGTGTCAAAAATACTTGCATTCATAAACTGAAGGACAGAGTTCTAAATTGAACTCACAAGGCAAACTGTTAAACCACTTTGCCATGGAGGCCCTTATGAAGATTCAAATTCCCCACATCCACCAAGATACAAAAATAATCCAGACAGTACCACATGTTTGACACACTGTGACAAAGTCCTTTTTTAAACAAGAAATAAAAACAGGACTTTGCTAAAAAAAAACATAAGTAGATGGGTCAATCTATCTCCTCAACAGAGGATCACCAAAACTCTTAAATAAGCGATGTACTCAGGTTGAACCAGGTTAATCGATAACACAAAACGAAAACAGAAATAAAATAGGTTGGAGCTGAAAGGACTACACATAAGCGCCATACAGTCAAAGATTAGGATTACCAGATTACAGTCAAAGATAGAAACAACAGAAATTAAATGTTGACGATGAATTATAGATGTAACAAGAAGAGACGGGATCAGAAATGACAATGTCAGGAAAGAAGTTGGGGCGGGGGGGGGGGGGGGGGGGGATAGTGTTAAACTACATTAAGAGACAACAAATTAAATGCTTTTGACATGTGCCAAGACTATCATCAGCTAGCACACCACAGACAGCCCTGTCATTTAGACATAATGGAAGCTCAAGTCAACACACCACAGACAGCCCTGTCATTTAGACATAATGGAAGCTCAAGTCAACACACCACAGACAGCCCTGTCATTTAGACATAATGGAAGCTCAAGTCAACAACACAAGTGATGGATAGATGAAATACCCGAGGCTATAAATTCCAGCATCTATGTAGCACATACCAAGGCTAAAACCTGACACCTCTTCAAAACCTGATGCTGAAAGGCAAAACAGGACTAGAGAAGCAGACAAAGACAGTGACAGAATACCCTGTGATAGTGCTGTAGCCTCATAGGATGGCAGGTTGTCTCTGTCTGCAGTATTATCATTCTCTGAATAGCGAGGTGGGTCTTCCACATCATTGGAACGCTGAAAAGTGAAAATAATAACACTGTTTTATTGTCAAATTCAAAGAGCAGAACAGCACCACTGCATTCATCATCATCCCGTAACACTACGTGTCGTTGGGTCGCCAGTTTCTGTTGACTGTCTGATCATCTCTCTCCACCTTTGGCGGTCAGTTGCGATGGACTTCATGGTTGCATGCCTGAGGCCTGTCCAGTCAGTCAGGTTCTGTAGCCCGGTCTTTCGGCATTACTTACTGGCAATCCTGAATTATTTCAATGGTAACATAGGTAAGTAACAGTTGGAGAGCCATTAAAAACATGGAGGATGGAATTTAAATGTGCTCAAAAAAATTAAACATATATTTTTAAAAATATCTGGACATTAAATAAATGAACATTAATTTATGAACAATAGATGGGATGAATTCAAGACAGTGGAAGAAATCAGACAAATGTCTGGATAACTGCTCACAGCAACAGTCGTCAGAGAACGAAGATGGGGATATATTTGGCACATCAAGATGGGGATATATTTGGCACATGAAGATGGGGATATATTTGGCACACAAAGATGGGGATATATTTGGCACATGAAGATGGGGATATATTTGGCACACGAAGATGGGGATATATTTGGCACACGAAGATGGGGATATATTTGGCACACGAAGATGGGGATATATTTGGCACATCAAGATGGGGATATATTTGGCACACGAAGATGGGGAAATATTTGACACATCAAGATGGGGATATATTTGGCACACGAAGATGGGGATATATTTGGCACATCAAGATGGGGATATATTTGGCACACGAAGATGGGAATATATTTGGCACACGAAGATGGGGATATATTTGACACATGAAGATGGGGATATATTTGGCACACGAAGATGGGGATATATTTGGCACACGAAGATGGGGATATATTTGGCACACGAAGATGGGGATATATTTGGCACATCAAGATGGGGATATATTTGGCACACGAAGATGGGGATATATTTGGCACATCAAGATGGGGATATATTTGGCACACGAAGATGGGGATATATTTGACACATGAAGATGGGGATATATTTGGCACACGAAGATGGGGATATATTTGGCACATGAAGATGGGGATATATTTGACACACGAAGATGGGAATATATTTGGCACACGAAGATGGGGATATATTTGACACACGAAGATGGGGATATATTTGGCACACGAAGATGGGGATATATTTGGCACACGAAGATGGGGATATATTTGGCACATGAAGATGGGGATATATTTGGCACACGAAGATGGGGATATATTTGGCACACGAAGATGGGGATATATTTGGCACACGAAGATGGGGATATATTTGGCACATCAAGATGGGGATATATTTGGCACATCAAGATGGGGATATATTTGGCACACGAAGATGGGGATATATTTGGCACACGAAGATGGGGATATATTTGGCACACGAAGATGGGGATATATTTGGCACACGAAGATGGGGATATATTTGGCACATCAAGATGGGGATATATTTGGCACACGAAGATGGGGAAATATTTGACACATCAAGATGGGGATATATTTGGCACACGAAGATGGGGATATATTTGGCACATCAAGATGGGGATATATTTGGCACACGAAGATGGGAATATATTTGGCACACGAAGATGGGGATATATTTGACACATGAAGATGGGGATATATTTGGCACACGAAGATGGGGATATATTTGGCACACGAAGATGGGGATATATTTGGCACATCAAGATGGGGATATATTTGGCACACGAAGATGGGGATATATTTGGCACATCAAGATGGGGATATATTTGGCACACGAAGATGGGGATATATTTGACACATGAAGATGGGGATATATTTGGCACACGAAGATGGGGATATATTTGGCACATGAAGATGGGGATATATTTGACACACGAAGATGGGAATATATTTGGCACACGAAGATGGGGATATATTTGACACACGAAGATGGGGATATATTTGGCACACGAAGATGGGGATATATTTGGCACACGAAGATGGGGATATATTTGGCACATGAAGATGGGGATATATTTGGCACACGAAGATGGGGATATATTTGGCACACGAAGATGGGGATATATTTGGCACACGAAGATGGGGATATATTTGGCACATCAAGATGGGGATATATTTGGCACATCAAGATGGGGATATATTTGGCACACGAAGATGGGGATATATTTGGCACACGAAGATGGGGATATATTTGGCACATCAAGATGGGGATATATTTGGCACATTCTATGTCCATGAGAAAACTTGGGACAAATGATAAGAGAAGCCAGTGGTGCAGGATGAGATCTTATACATACTACCAAACAAATTGTAGAAGACAGAACAGAATGAAAGAATCAACAGATAGCCCTCTGTGGCATTTTGGCACAATAACATAAACTTTATAAATTATTGGCAAATTACAAAGCAAAAATAGTAATACTGCAATAGGCAAACATGTTTTAGCTTATCAGCATGAGGATACAAAGTGCTGATAGTTTCTGATGGGTTATCTTAATTTTTTTTTTTATAAAATATATTTTTTCCTCAATCACTGTTCTGATCAGTATAAACATTATTCAACTTTTTTTCAATCATCATCATAATATTTTTCATCTCAAGTTGTTTCTTCTTCTTCACCAGTATTCCAAGTTCTTGAGGTTTATTGCTGCAGGTATCACCCACCTCCATTCATCGATGTGATAAGTCCTCTCTTTCCAGTTGGTGACTCCAAGTATTTGCAGATTTGCTTTATCTCTCCGCTGTCTTCTTGGTCTGCCTCATGGTCTAAGACCATTCAACTCCTTTATATACACAGTTCTTTTTTTTTTAACCTTTCTGTCATTTGACATTCTCTCAATATGTCCTAGTCTTTTCAGTCTTTTACCCCTCATGATGCCAGTGATCAATAGTGATTTAACCAAATTATGAATTTAGTTTTTGCTTCTCACTCTCTATTCTGTTTGCAACTTTTACGGGTACAAAGACTGCAAGACTCTGTTTTAAAAAATCTGTATTGAGGCTTTATCTCTTTGAGCTGTGCTCTAAATTTCAGAGCCATATAAAACAACTGGTCTTATCAGAGTTTCATATATTTTGATCTTGGTGTTACCATCTCAAGTTTCAGTTTCATAATTTACTTTCTCAGATCACACTGTAGCCTAGTAACGCGCATGCACACTCATATGTTTCCCTGGCAAATAGTGTCATTTCTGTGAAGGCAAATGTGTGAGACTACCTGGCTAAGAAATCTATCGTCACCTTTTCACACTACCAACAGCATACTTTTTCATCATTCTTTTTTTTGCCACCTAAAATTTCTACTTTATCATTATTGTTTGCCTGATTGGAGAGGAAGAAATACAAACAAAAATACAATTGCTCACAAGGAAGTATAAACAAATGCAATTTGGGATGCAAAATGAAACAGTGTGGATTAAGCGAAGGACATTTATATTTTTGTTAGTTAACCGATAAGACTTTTAAGTCAGGTAATGCCCTCAGCAATTACTATATTTAGACTCACATGTTGAACAGATGATTTAATCTCTCAATAACTGCAAGATGTGGTCCGCACATTATGTTGGATTTTTATAATAAATGGTGCATAAACTGGCAGATTTATCAGTTAAAGCAGTGAAAAACTAGGACTGTTCCTGTTTTCTGCGATTAATGAAGACTATTGTCACAGCACTCTGGACAGATCTATAGGTGCTCTGATCTCCTTCTCAATAGATTTACAAGCGTAAAATGACAGATTCTGCCCATTCTATGTTGATTAATTAGACGTCCGGGGCTCTCAGTAAAGTGTTCTTTTCTGGCTGCTCCAGGCTGCAGACCCATTATCAACAAAACTGGACAAGGATAGTAAGTGCTGGTTAAAGTGATTTTTTTCGCAATGTGCATCTTGTATGGCATTAATGACATCACTCCCGTCTAGTGCCTGGCCAATAATCATAACTGCCTTGTCCGCCAGATAATCTCAATGCCCACTACCTCGAACACCGGCATGGCCCGGCACAAAGATAAAGGTTAGATGAGTTGTTCGCAATGCATTTAGTAAGAGAATTTATTCTTGTCTAAAAAAGCCTGTCTGGATTCCCATGAGCATATTCAGTAAGTCACAATATGCATGCATGTGTTAATTCTTGAGCAGCCAGACATGTGCCTTTATTGCAGCCATGGTCTCCAATGTAGGAGGGAAAAGGAAGGGGGGGAGGGGAGGCAGCAAAGGCACCACAAATTTCAGGTTCATCCATGTTAACAGCATCATCGACATCTGTGTTAACATCAATCAGCATTTTTACGAAAATTTTTACCATGCCAGAAATCTGTTCTCTACAGCTTCTAATAAGTGTTATATGGACCAAGATGCTGATGTCTGAAGCAGTAGGCAGATGCATCCATTCATTTTCTACATTAATGTCAAGAAGGCAATAGGACTGTTCTAAAAGATAATGACTCTTTAGGTTGGCTGCAATGGATCTCAAACACTTTGTCTCTTGCCTTGGTTGTACAAGCTCTCCTGATGCTATCGTCCCACTCGTACCTCTTTGCTCAACTGCCTTTCAAATGTTCCCTCCATTATAGTTGTTATTGACATTATATGTCTTTTAATTAGATTGAAATATTTCACGTTTCTTTCTTACTGTTTCCTAGATAACTCTGTTAAATGTGGCGTTCGAAAACCTGTTTTTGTTTATTTTCTATCAATTACATCACATACTTCTGTAAGCCGGCTACGACGAATTTAACTTGATTTTAGTTTGTACGACTTATGAAATATACCCGGCCACTGTGCAGCACATGTTCGAGCAACTGCGTGGGGATGAACGGTTAGTCTGGCTGGTTGATGATGATAATGGTGGTACATTTTATATAGTTAGCCCTGAATTTGTCTCTAGTAGTTAGACTGGCTAGAGATATGTCAGTGTGTATTATCGCTCTGAGATAGTTCATTTTATTAGTGAAGTGCTTGGCACGTTGAGGATTGTTAATGTATTGCTATTTGTGAACAGCGCTGAGTAGTGTCTTATGTTCAGTGAAATAAACAGATGTTGAATGTGACAATTATAGTTCTAGTTGTTTTGATTCCTATTAGGACTTGTGGTTAGTGAGCGTAGTTTTACTTGTACTGCTGATAAGATTTTACACCAAAGATCTCACGTCTGGGCTAAAATAATTATGTTTCTAGTCCCCGCCTAACAAACTCTCTTTTTCTTTATTTTTCTTGGTACTTTAGGGATTTCACTTCTAGTACAAGTGGCGTCATCGGGTAGTACAGGTGGCCATGATGTATTTTGTGTCTAGTAGTTCAGGTATCATAGTGATTCATGTTTTAGGTTTGTTTTGAATGGCGCCCACGTGCTCTTTTTGTTCAGACTTCGAATATGTGTGTTACATAATTTAATTTACAAAGGATTCCTAGTTAGTTCAGGAAATTATAAATTAAATTGGTTTTGAATGGCGCCCATATGTGTAGTTAAATGTTACATAATCATATTTACTGTGGAGAGCTTCTTCATATCGTTCACTAGGAGTGGTTTGTGTCTATTGTTCAAGGAGAGGTTTGTTTAGTCTGGATCTAAGCCTGAGGTCAGTTTATTTGTGAAGTTTGAATTTAGACTTAGGTGCTACCTATGTAGTTAATGGTGTGTGATTAGATGTTACTGAACAGTTTTGTTTCACTAGGAGTGTTTTTTTTTTGTCTACTGTCCATGGAGTGGCTTGTTTTTTGACCTGAGCTTTGGGTCAGTTTATTTGTTATTCTGTCTTTGCATCAAGGTTTAACTGTAGGTCTGTTTGTATATTAGGGAACCTTGTGTGAAGTACATCTACCGAGCCAGTTATGAAATTAATTTTTTAACACTGCTGTTACCAGTCAGTACACTGAAGGCTTGAGCTGAGGTAATGTCGCTTGATTTTCACTGCAGGCTTTCCTGAAGCCGAGGTAAGAGTGGGGAAATGTTTCTCGATGGCGATGCGGTCGAGACGGTGGTTAAATGTGTCTCTCTTGATGGCTGAGCGGCCGAGACAGTGGCATAAGTGGTAATGTGGCACTCGATGGCCGAGACAGTGGCAAAAGTGGTGATGTGTCTCTTTATGGCCAAACGGCAGAGAGAGTGGCAAAAGTGGTGAATTGTCTCTCGATGGCCATGTGGCCGAGACAGGAGTGAGTCTATTGTAGGCTTTGCTGAAGCTAAGATAATGTCCGATATGTCTCTCGATGACCATGCGGCCAAGACAGGAGTGAGATATGTCTCTTGATTGCCATGCTGCCGAGACAAGACTGGAAGCAGTCTTAATTAAGCCCTGCGGCTGAGGAAATGAATAGCTGAGAGAACCCATCTGTGAAGAATCACTGGATGTCAGAGAGGAAATCCAACTGGTCACATTCTGATGTAGCTAATTGCTATGCTTCTTTATTTTTTAAGTTTTGGTTGTTGTGTGTCAGTGATGATTTGGTATGTGTTTAAATGCATTTTTCTACAGAGGAGTGAATAATATGGGTCTTTATTCTACTCTGATGGTGTCTCGATTTTGATGATAATCGCCATCATTGACATTGACGTGGGGGGGGGGGGGGGGGGGGGGGTTAATGATTTTACAGATGGTAGCTTAAACCTGAACACAAATGTTCAAATTGATGTTTCAAGACTATTGCCATCTTTGATGTAATTTTTTTATCTGTGATTTATATGTTCCTTATCCAGTTTCCTTGGGACGAGTCATGCTTTTCTCATATTGTTGTAGTCTTATTTGGCAGAGAATTAAAATGTCAGTTAGCAGGAAGAGCACAGGTAAAGGTCACATGGCGGCCATGAGTCGTTACCTAGGCGAAGGTAATTATACAACTTAATGTAATTCTGGGGAGGGAAAGTCAGTTGAGATTTTGCTAGCGTCCAAGCCGGACATGTGTTTGCCGCGGGTTAGCTGAAACGCAGTGTTAGCTATTTCTCTTTATGAGGATAATATAGTAAGGTTTCTCTTTGTGAGGGTTTTTGCCTTGCTGCTGTTTGCGGGAGACAGTTTGATGTCTGTTTAGTTTCTAATGGCAGGAGTCCACTGAGTGAAGTTTGTAATCATTAATATCGACCGTGTAGATAATAGTGACTTATTATCTTACTTATATTAATCATCATCATCTTGTGACGTTTAATGTGAATGACAAAGTTTATGTGGCCTGTCACAAGTGTTATTGTTGACTCATCAGGATAGTCACAACTGTATTTGCTGATGCTGTGCCAAGTGTTCCAGTTGTTATATTATGCAGGACTGCAAGTAGTTGCATCACATCCATCAAGGAGAGATCCAGCGGCATATTAGCGTAGGCACCCTAAATCTACATACTTGGTTGGTTTTCTGATACTAAGCAGTATCAGCCCATAAAGATACATATTATATGGACTAACCTAAATAAGCGCTTTGTATACCCATAGTCTACACAGAGGTTATACAAGAGTACACCACATATGTCAATGACAGTTATTTCTGGGTGTATGTTAATAAATGATGCTGCAAGTAACTAGTGATTACGTGATGTCAAGAGGAGGATTTTATTTCAGGTGGCTATGGCCAGTAACTCTGTGGGGATGTAGAACAGGAATTGGAGGAGGATTTGTAGACAAAAATTGTTATCTACTGTGTAATTGCTGGGACGTCAACAAATTTGAGGTGGGGATGTGTAAGCGTGTGATGACGAATACCTTGATTTCGCTGATTTTCAAATGCGAAGAAACCTGGTCACTCAGGAAGCCACGTGTCTATAAAGAGGCCAGCTCACTCAAAATCTGCTTCATTTTCCGGTCTGAACCTGCAGTTGCTCAAGGGCTGGAGACCCACACAGCCATTGTGGCTCTGCCCATTGGGCTAAACAGCATGGGTACGGGCGATTGCATGGGGGTGGTCGGTTACCTGGCTGATTTCATGATGGTGGTACTTTCTAAAGTTAGCTCTGAATTTGTCTCTAGTAGTTAAACTGTGTGGGTAAATATATCAGTGTGTATCCTCACTAGGAGATAGTTTGATTGCAGGTCTCTATAAGCGATTTACTGGTCTGGTGATATACTGAAGCTTAACATACATGCTTATTATGTTTTTGCCTTTGCTGGGGTAATTTTTTTGAGCATATGCGTTCATTATCATATTTCCTTGTTAGCTGGAGATGATAAGCACTTTAGATTCTGGTCGAGCACGTTGGTTGTTGTTAATTTGTTGTTTATTTGTGAAGTAAACGTTAATTTTGCGTTTAGTTCAGTAAAATAAACAGCTGTTTTATGTGATGTTATAATTCATTTGCTTGATTCAATTTAGGATCTGTAGTCCCTGCACGTGGTTCAACTAGGTGTATGTAGCCATCTTGTGTGTTAGTGTGTGTAACATAGACTTGTTCAGATATCCCCTGTCAGGGTTCGGGTGGAATATTCCAGGATCCCTGCACAGAAGAACCCTTGTCTTTTCTTTACTTTCCTGTTTTTGCTGTTCAGCGGGAAACTATTACTTGTTGTCCTAATGACAATTTTCCTTTATCTCCCCTACCTCCGTTTTTTTTTCTTCTTTCTTCCCGCTAGCACACTTCTATACATCCACTTTACCTAAGCCTCAGTTCGACTTACTAATCATTTCAACCCACTAATTGCTAGTTAACAGTCTATTTCTGTGCCTTATAGTATAGCTAAGAATAAATAACATTCGACAAGTCTCATTTTAAACGCATTATTGATAATAATTTCTTCAGATGTTACACGAAGCCTAAGGAAGTTCATACAGTTAGTTACACCTACGCTACAATTTTTATATCACGCTGTTGCAAATATGCAGGCCACACCTAATTCCTATTCTCACTTTCATTTCACTTATGCCGCCGCCAATTATGGATCCCAAATACTTTCTGTCTTTTACCTTGGCTGTATACTCTCTCAAACCGCTGATCATCCATCTACTGATTAATAACATCTGACATTTATGTTTTTCAACATGTTATTTATAATAATTTCTCCAGGTGTTATATAAAGCTGAAGGAAGTTAGTACGGTTATTTACGCCCACACACCAGTTTTTTTTTTTTTATCTTGATTGTTCGTTGCAAATAGACATGCCACACCCACGCCCATTCTCACTTTCATTTCACTTCTGCCACTGCCAATTATGCAAACCAAACATTCTGCCTTTCCCTACCTTGTACTGACACTCTCAAACTGCTGATCATCTATCTCCTGATTCCTAACATTTGACTTCTTGTTTTAAACGTATATTTATAATAATTTATCCAGGTGTCACACGTATGAAGGTTAAGAAAGTTAGTCAAAGTCATTATTACTAATACTAAAACTGTATTCGTACACAACACTAGTAACAACGCCACTAACGCCTACCTACTACGGTTACGCAAGCAATCGTTCTTTTCCCCTCACCAAGCTGAAAATAATTGAAGCCATTCCTATTCTCACTTTTATTTCACTAATGCCACCAATATATGTACACGCTAGGTGAACCCTGCTAAAATTTAACTAAACTGCAAGTTAGAAATTTAACACACAAAAAATTTAAAAAATAGCATATACATACGCCAGAATTCGCCTTGTAGCTGATCGCCGTCGCCATTGTTGTCTTGTCAGGATTTCTCGGAAATGTGACTGGGGGGAAACTCGGCAACAGTTTTCTGTTAACTGAGCCTAACAGGAATTTGTCGTAATCATGTGACTGCGTGGGATTCCGCCCTCTTGTTATATCTCAGTTCATATTTGATCAAATTAGAATCTTCCGGGGTTTCTTCTACAACTAGGAGTCTTTAAATATGAACTTATTTTACTTTTTATTGCCTTGATAAAGTTAAAATATTACAACCAGGCATAGTAAATGATTGCAAAGGATTTGAGATTGAGTTGCTTAGAAATTATAATTATGTTTGTTTTAGATTATTGGCAATTCTTTACCCGCCTTTATTAAATGTTCACGATGGAGGTGATGGATGTAACGCAAGCGTTCGCCTGGCTCGAAACGCAAACTACACCCGCGTGTGTATACTCAGTGATTCAATGAGTATGATCCGAAGGATTCAGGCAGGTTCAGTGCGAAGACAATGGCTTGAATCATTACAGAAGTCCACTGTGCGTGGCAGTCACCTTCATTTTTGTTCCGGGAGACGCAGGCGTCGATGGAAATGAAAGAGCTGATATGTTGGCTGGATCCGCTATCACTACCGACGGTCAGCCTATATAACATGCTGATATTTTTAATGCCAGAGAAATGGGAAGGATAGAGGACTTTGGGGGCAGTGAATCCACATCACTCGCCAGAATGGCAGACTTGGGAATTAAGATCGGCACAGCAAAAAACGAGACGCACACCAGACACGCCAGAAGACTTGTTAATCAACATAGAACTGGTACTATTAGCCATCGGACGTTTTGATTCGTACTAAGGGGAGGGTCTGAGCACCTATGGACTAACTAACTAACTGTTCACCTACAGGATTAAAAGATTGACACCCGTCGACTCAAAGGGCCAATATACGGAGGTTAATCAAACAGGCAGGTGCCTCGATAAAGAGAAAACATCGGAATGTGGCCGTTCAACTCCCTCTCCTCTTTCCTGTATATACATCCTAAGCAAATAATTACAGGGGAACTCCATGGGCCTAATCCTATTTAAAAGGCATAATAATAATTATGTTAAGTAAAAGGACCATTTTCCATGCTTCAGGCGTATTGGGCATATAGGGCTAGACCAATCGGCACTCACTGAGTGATGTGGTCATCATAACACCGTACGCCTTTACTTCCTACGGCTTTGCCTGGTACCAATTTAAGTCTGGGTCGACCTAGGAGCCAAGGTCATTTTCGAAGGAGAAAAACCTTGGCTAATAAAAACGTACTGAATGGGAAATAAATGTAATCATATATTTGCTCATAATGCATAATATTTCATGCTATGGCGAACTAGAGATGGATAGTAGATTTCCAGGCCGGCCTCTACTTCGATATCCACGATATAAATATTTGTACTAGCGTCAGGTAGATTTATGGGGAAATTGTCATGCACCTGCGCTAAGGGGCAAATCAGAAGGGGAATGAGAATGGCTGAAAGGATGATAGCTGAGCGTCTCTGGAGAAATACACTAAAAACAAATGATGACTATAACCGTCCTGAAATCCCATGCTCTAATTTTGGAAGACTTTTCTTAACGTGGGCGGGTTTTGCTAGTCAGACTTACAATCGTCAGTGGCTGAATCACATGCCTCCTGATAGCACCATATAACATTATCGTCTGGAAGTAGGAAAAGGTGCCAACTCAACAACGAATTGCGGACACACAAGCCGGCAATCTGTGATTATGGCCGGGCAAAGATGAAGGTCCACTTTTCAGTGCCTCGGTCCCTGAACTGCGTACAGTTCCTTCCTCGACGGCTAGGTCCATTCTTATGTAATCTCTATATGTCCACTTCACGTATGCGCAGGACAGCCCCGTACCCGAGGGGGAGGGTGGGGGGGGGGGTGGCGAAATACATAAAGAAGTGTTTTGCAACCTACAAGCAATTAGGAAATCGAAGTGAGTTTCTTGAGGTGTGGATCATCATCATTAAGTGCCTTGCCGACTGGCGTGGGCGATCGTGCCTCTACACAATCTGCGATCCGCAACTGCGTGAGTAGTAGTATTATGCGCTTTAGATCCAGAGTATTTGAGGAGTGAGGAATGAAGATTTTGAGGAGTGAGGTATGAAGATTTTGAGGAGTGAGGTATGAAGATTTTGAGGAGTGAGGAATGTGGGTTGACTTTGTGGGTTGAGGATTGAAGATTTTCTGGTTGTGGATAGCGGTATTGATGGTGATGTCGGAAATATGAGCTGCGGATTGTACAGATCTGCGTTTTGGCTTTGCGGATTGGCTTGCGAGTTGAACGTGGGGAAAAAGTTCTGGAAAATCAGGGGCGACATTAGTTTGGTTTGATGGTTGGGGGAGCCCCTGTACCGTTTTGTTGTTAACGATGTTTCTCTAGACGGCGCCCCTCTCTTGAGTGTGTTTCAAAGGTCAGAGTCTGGTTATTAGCCGACTCGCTCCATGGTAAGATAACATTGGTTTCATATGTCACTAAGTGAATAATTTTGTCAGGTTTTTTTCTTCACACACCACTCTCTCACACTCACACTCGCTATTAACCTCTATTATTTAGACTTTGAGAAAATACACCACACACACACACACACACACACACACACTGTTAGCCCTATTATTTGAACATACACCACACACACACTAATAACCTTTATTATTTGTAATTGCTGAAAACACACCACACACACACACAAATGTCTCAACAACTTATTTCTTCCGTATGTTTCTTTCCTGTCTCTCTCTCTCTCTCCCTCTCTATCTCTATCTCTCTCTAAACCCAACTTACACTTTATAATCTTATGTTTCGACACAAACAACTAGAAGGTCTGAGAAAGATAAAACATTACTACTATTAACATAAAAATACACAAAGAACACGAGGTGTTCCCTTACCCATATAACTAGTGACCACGCTCGACGTTGCTTGACGTCGTTTTTCCCCCCGGGCATTCTCCCCCCCCCCCCCCCCCCCCCCCAAATCTAATTACTGACCACGTTTCGATGTTGACTTTTGTAATCGGTCGAGAACCCGTTTTTGTTTTTTCACGACCAACTTTTACTTTCTGTGACTGATTATGGCGAGACATATTGCCCTCAATCTTTTAATTAGACTAATACTATTTCTATTTTGACTTTAGCCACGTTGTCATCGTAACAGTTCATTAATTCAGTCGGATTTGTCTGTGTACAATTTCTTAGTCTTTTCTGAGCCGACTTGAAGTTCTCAGATCTCGCAAGAATACTTTTACCTGTTCGCTTCACAAACCACAGCTGACTAAGGTCACGGCTGACTCTAATTAAATTAATAACATGAGACTCTGTTTACAAGCTAGTGAACATGTGGACAAAATATCTTTCTTAGTGAACGAAACTTGACACACGATAGTACCAGTCGAAGCTGTGTTGGTATCTGTGTCTAACATTCTCTCTCTCTCTCTCTCTCTCTCTCACTCTCTCTTTCCCTCTCTCCCTCCCTCTCTCAGTCAGTCATCCTGACCCTGTAACTCTATAGCTATCTTGTCTGCTGTGATTCTCCTATTTTACCCCTCCCTGGTAACAGACAACAATGAATAGAAATATAATCAGAAGATGTATAATAGTTTAGACATATTGCTTTATTGTATCTTTTTCTTTCATATATTATCAATAGACAAATCATTACATTTTTTTATTTCAAAATACATGATTACTTATTATACAATAGACATACATTTCAAAATATTTCAAATTAAAATTATAGGGACACAAAAACATTTTCACTTTGTGTTTTACCAGACACCCTTTATGGGTTATTATTTACATATAGTTAAATATAGTTTTACCATACGGCACACCATTTCTGTTATGTTGAACATTCATAAAATATAGAAGCGGTTGGGTAGATTGGAGGGAATAGACAGCTGTTTAATTATTTATATAGATAGCACAGCGTTTTACAATTATATACGACAAACAGTTATTCACACATTAATAACAGACACACAACAAATGTTTCCACATATTTATGAAATTAGAGTCGGAGTAACCATCTTCTTTTTATAAGCGACCAAGAAGGTTCTAGATAGACAATACGTCGTCTGGGTTGTTGGTGTTCTCTTGAACCGTCAGAATATGGTTCTGTAGTTGTATTTGTCGGCTGTTTGAGCTGACGGCTTTTTCACAGGGATCACAGGTGTTAATTATACATGGGTTAGACTTTGATAGGTCCAAGTCTGGCACTGGTAGTACCGTGTTGGTATGACTATGCTGTTTTTTTCTTTGGTGCCTACTTATGTTTGGTTGTCCTAATAAAGGTGTCAGTTTCTTCTTCTTCTTCTTCTTCTTCTTCTTCTTCTTCTTCTTCTTCTTCTTCTTCTTCTTCTTCTTCTTCTTCTTCTTCTTCTTCTTCTTCTTCTTCTTCTTTTTCTTCTTCTTTTTCTTCTTCTTCTTCTTCTTCTTCTTTTTCTTCTTCTTCTTCTTCTGTGTATATATATGGAGGGAAAAAAAAGACACACAGTTTTATCCAACAGCGATTAGCCAGTTTGAATATCTCACAACACAAACATTTATAAAAAAGACAAGTGAAGAACTCTATGTCACAACTTACGAAACAACAAATAGCAGGCAATTTGAACTTTCTTCCAAAATTCAGCGTGAGGTGCCTACACGTTCAGCCATATATTTTGTAAACACAGTTTTCGGGATAAGCAACATCACAGAGACAGAAAGGACTTGTCTTCTCCAACTCTTTTTGAATAGGTGCACCCCGGGAAACCGCCTGTGTTTTACACATAGGACACATTTTTATACATTTTTTTCTTTATCGCCCTATTTTTTTTTTAAACCGTAATCATCTCCCTTTTGTGGAAGCCACAGACCTAGTAGCGTAAATTTGTACTTATACTGTCTAAAACTTTGGAGAATTCACCATTTGTTCCTCTGAATTTTTTTTTTCCTCAGCCAGACGTTCTGTCAGCAAAAGATTTCTCAAACTTTTGTTGTTAGACAATGTCACC